AAATAAATAGAACTGAGCAGAAATCGACTTGGGTTCTTTTAAAAAGTTTTTTTCTCTTGCTTCTTCTTACATATGATACTTGTGTTAGTTACTAAATGCTAATATGTGTGTGTATGTGGAAAAGGGATAAAACTGCATTCACTTGATATTTATGTAGATAGACACACTTTTACGAAGGATTTTCTTCCTCTTCTTGCTGTGACTAGTTCTCATAATATGTTCTTCTTTTTTACTCTTCTCTCTTTTCATAACGCTTTCCGCTTGTTTGATTACGCTTTCTTTCTTTCACGGAAAATACCCACTAAGTCATGAAGAAAATAAAAGACAGATTCAGTGAAGAAAATTTTCTTTATCGACGAAATCATCTTCAGAGTCTGGCTGTACAGTCGTATTTATACTTACAAAAATATATAGTGGTCTATTATTGAATAATAGGGGGATGCCATAACTGATATAATTCCATTTTTTGAATGTTTTTCTAAAAAGGAGTTCTGATGGTTCTCTTCAAAGATTGATATGCAAGAAACCAACATGGAATACTCAGTACACAAATTTCCATAGCTGGGTCCCTTTGTGAAGAAAGAGAAATCTGATCCATTCCTTATCTTCAAGAATAAGGAGGATATATTCCAGTGATACAATCGATAGGGAACTGAAGCGACTCAGACAAGTACTCATAGAGAGTGGATATATCCTCCAAGATTTGTCGAGAAAAACATGAAGTTAAGAGAAAAGCCTGAAAGAATCCAGACGGTGCCGAAGAAACTGCTCTTTATGAGTGTTGAATTTAAAGGTGATACGGCAGCTGAGATCCTGCAGAATCGCTTATGCAGATCACTGAGGAAAGCCTTCTTTATGGCTGAGCTACGTATCAATTTCTACAGTTGACAAATGATCAACGGATGTGTGAAGGATAAACTGCCGCTTTGGGCCACCTCAATGTGTGTCTATAAATTCACCTGCTCGTGTGGAGCTAGTTATATTGGCCGCACAAAGCTCACGCTTTCTAAACGCATCTCTGAACATTATCCGGCATGGTTAGAAAAGGAATAATGCAAGACAATTACCAGCTCAATTCTCGAGCATTTGGTAAACTCAGGCCACTTAGCTCCATCAGAGTCGTCTTTTAAGATCATCTACAAAGTGAAGCCAAATGGTACAAAGGGCGTCAGGTTTCGGCTTTTGTGTATGGCGGAGGCGCTGTCAATTCATCCATACAACCCTGAACTCTATACAGAAAAAGTTTGTCCAGTCTCTGATTCTACCTTGGTCTTAACCACTTCACTAATCGTTCCCTGTAAAAAAAATTTGATTTTTTCTTTTGTTTTTAATTTTACCTTCAGTTTGCTTTTGCTTTAATAATTAATTCACTATTATCAATCTCATATGCTCCTTTTGTATATTTTTACACCCTCTTCACGCTTGTTGAAATGACACTCAAATACCTTTATTCTCACTCAAGAGCAATTTTAACCTTATCAAGTTTCTATCTTTGTTCCGTTGAGTACCATGTAATTTACATCTTTTAATTTTTACTTCTAAAGCCACTTGTGATTAATTACATCAATTATGTCACTCCCTATTACTCAATAATAGACCACTATACATTTTTCTAAGTATAAATACGACTGTACAGCCAGACTCTGAAGATGATTTCGTCGATAGAGAAAATTTTCTTCTCAGAATCTGTCTTTTATTTTCTCTCTTTCTTTGTGAAGCAGAAGAACAAGAAGAAGGAAAATGAAGGAAATTCGAAGAAAGCAAACTATGTTTTATGACCATTTGATGTATGACATTTGAAAACAAAAAATATTATATAATATACACAAACAGTTACATTTTGTGGGCGTGCGTGTGTGCGCATGAAGCAGTTAAATAAACGATTCATCTTTTATATATATATATATAAATATTTATGTATGATTTATGCAAAAATTGTTAATAGAGTATTTCTTTCTTTACTACAATAGCGCAAAACTGTTCTAAAGCCATAACAAAACAACTGTCATTCTGGTTTTTAGTACTAAGATAGAATATCAGTAATATCTGAAAATTGAGCTTAACTTGTAGGCATTATCTGTTAGAGTATCAGTTACATTACACTAGAATAGAGATTTTCAAAACGTATCTATTATACAGATATACGAGTATTTGGTGAATTTTCATTTGTTATTGAGATTTATGACATCTTTCTTCTTTAAATCTTAATAACATGAAGAGTTTATCATCATTATTACTATTGTTGTTGTTATTATTATTATTGTTCGTTACTCGTGTTTCGAGAGGAAAATACAGGTACACTGGTGTATCTGCATTCTAATTGGTTCTTTGAAGTGAGGACGGGAGTGAGGCAAGGCTGTCTACTATCGCTAGTGATCTTCCTGATTGCAATAGATTGGATAATGCGACAGACAGCAGAGGGCAATGAGGAAACAGGCATAAAATGGACTCACACAAAAAAACTTGGAGGATCTGGACTTCGCCGATGATGATATATGTCTGATTTCCCACAAACTGGAAGACATGCAAGTGAAAAGCAACAAGTTGGCAGAACAAGCATCAAAGATAGGACTTCAGGTGAACATAGACAAAACAGAGATGATGAAGATTCATGGCCAACAGCAACAGCAATAACAACAACAACAGACAACAATCAGCCAGCACAAATGGGAGGAATCTGAAAGAAACAACCTCCCTTACCTACCTGGGAAGCATCATTTCAACTACAGGCGGACAGAACTGACGAGGATATCAAAGCCAGAATCGGAAAAGCAAGACAAGCTTTCATTACTCTCAAGTCTGTGTGGAGGTCAACAGTACTAAGCATAAAAAACAACATCCGAATTTTCAACTCCAATGTGAAGTCAGTGCTACTTACTATGCGGATCAGAAACTTGGCACATAATAAGTATCACTTCAAACAAACTACAGACCTTCATTAACACCTGTCTTCGCTCAATACTCTGCTGAAGATCAGATGGCCGGCCAGAAAAGATCAGCAACAGGGATCTCTGGCAATGAGCGAACCAACCAGGAACCGATTGTGCAACATATATGCAGAAAGAAATGGAGTTAGGTGGATTGGCCATCAAGTGGCATCACTAGACAAGCCATCGCTCGAGTGGAACCCGAAAAGGGAGCGGCGAGTTGGTCGTCAGTGCGAAGGTGACATGGAGGAGGTCATGTGAAGAGGAAATGAAAGTATGTGGGCAGACTTGGAGCGGGTTCTTTGCCAGCCTTACCACGACTTCAGTGCTTTTACTTCCCCTCCACGCGATCTCCTCAACGGAATCCACCCAATTTATCTTTCCCTATTCCACTCTGGAGCTTCACAATTCTCCTCAGTATATATGTGTTAACCATCTTCATTTCAATCAAATAATAAGTTATTGTTTGATTTGCTACCAGAGTGTTTTTTTTATGTTGCTTATCCTTTATGATTGACTATTTGATCTTCAGTATAGAGTGGAGGTAGTTGTTGAGGAAAGTTTATAACGGCCCGTCAGAAATCTTTTTCATGACTCTCTGAACCATACAGAAGCACTAACTCAACATTAATGTTGAGAATCTTGTTCCTCATGCTGAGCACCGTGGATGTCTGCATTGATTTCAGAGTAATGAACGCTTGTCTTGCTTTCCTAACTGCAGCTTTAATCATTCGACGTTAATCAATATATATATAAACGCAAAATGAAGTTAATCAATGATTTATGAATGTAGTCATTGAGCTTCATAGATTCCAGTCAATAGGAATAACTAAACACTGGGGTATTTTTGACACTGCTTGATAGTGACTTTAGAAATGGTTTGTTTATTAAGAATAGGAAGCATGAAATATAAGTCCAGTAAAACTTTTCCACTGTCACGCTACATTTACTCAATTGCATAAAACTCTTATTTCTGTGGAGCTTCTTGTCAAAAAGTTGTGGAACTTATTGTAATTATTTGCCTTTCGAACACTGAATCTGTGGATATAATCTTGTTGACCGATAATACCTATAATTATCTGCTTGCCATATTGTGACTGTCTAACACTAACTAATATCTATAATTGTATATATTGATAGATTTACATGTCTAAGCCGGCTCAAGTCAGTGAGTCTATGATTTTGGTATCATTTTTGTTAACTGTATCTGATTGTGATAATACTGCTAAGGTTATTATTATTATTTTTTATTGTTGTTATCGCTGACATTCCTGTTTGTGACTTAATTTCCTTTTGCTGGTGTTGTTCTGACTGCTTTATTCCTTGTTTTCCTAAATTTCTTGGGAGGAACCCACAAGGTCTCTCCTCTGTAATCTATATTTTAATGTAAAAAAACCCCCTTCTCAGGCGTGAGGCTAGCAACCCCACCCTGTAAAAAAAAGATGCTACAGAAACTTCAGTAAGATGAATCTTTTTGCGCCAAAAGAAAATTTTTTGCCAGTTTGTTTTCTAACTAACTTGAAAGAACACAGTGATTTTGCTTTGAATATTAAAACACGATGATTTAGAAGACCTGTATGACTACCTGTAACTGTTATTGTAATTAATAAGGAAAACTAATACTACTTATAATGTATTTTAGAATACTGAGAATATTTTTTCAGATAACTTTATACTAAATTCATAATGAATATAAGGGGTAAATACTTCTGCATTTATGAAAGTGAACATTAATTTAATTTTAATCCTTATTTTTGAATTGAATTTTTGATTTTCCTGTCGATTGATTGATGATCGACGGGAAAATCAAAAATTCAATTCAATAATAATATCACCCGTTGCACAAGAGGTGGCTCTCGAGGCCCAAGTGGTCTAGTGGATAACGCTTTGGCGTTTGAAACTATGGGTACTGGGTTCGAGCCTCGGTGGGAATATCATCACTCACTGAGAAATGCAGGTACATCCAGTTGGCGAGTCCCAAATGGGACGAAATGCGCATCCTGGATTCCACTGCTAGTCACCATCCACCAATTAAATATTAATCCTTATTTCCTTTCTTTTTTTACACTTCAGCTTCCCCTTTGAAACAAGAATTAACATCGACTGTAATGCCAATTAAAGCGATGCTTGAAAGTGGAACTTATAATTCAAAACATTTTATTGACAATAAACTGAACAATTTTCATTCAGCATCAGAAAACTCTCTGCCATATCTGTCTAACAGATACTATCCCACTGGACAGAATTCAAACTTGCTAACATCAAAAATACAACCTCCTTTTGAAATAAATTTTCAACAACAGTCAAACAGCTTAGAAACTATGTCCACATTCAATTTGTTTTCTCAATCTCAAGGAAAGACAGAAGGTATATCTTCATCAGATATTGGAGATTTAATGATAAACAATGTCGTCCAGTCATCATCATCATCATCATCTTCATTGACTACAGCATCATATCTGTCAAATCCTATATCTGATCGTTTTTGTTCAATTATTCCACCTGCCTTAAATAACAGTCTTTCTCATACAACTCATTCAGTGAATGCGAATATTCCTTTATTACCGTCTAATCAACAATTTATTCGAAATTCAAAACAGCTAATCTCTAGTACTGCTGATCATGGAAACGAAGCCGCTGATATTAGCGACAATCGAGCCGGCTGTTTGCAAAAATTAGATGAAACTCAAGAGAATCTTAGATGCTTTTCATCCAAAGGAATAGAGTACAACAATACCAGTAGTAATAGTAGTAATAGTAACCTAGGTACCTATCATAATCAAGTTAACCTACTTTGGATGGTTAAACGTGATAGTCATTGTGACAGTATGTCTATAAATGAAAATCCCTTTTCTGATGTATACAATCGTGATAATTACACGGTACGTTCCTCTTCAGTAAGTGAAAATGTATCAGACAAGGAAAATCAATTGCTTAAATCAAAAGAAAGGGGTTATTTGACAAGAAATGAAAAAATACACTTGACAGTTGATGAAGATCACCAAAATAAAGCTGATTGCATACCTATACTAAATAAAAACAAGATAAATATCAGCGAAGTTCATGATAGTCACCTGCTCAATGATAATAATACAGGCGGTGATGATGAAGATGACTGTGGTGATGACGACGAAGAAGAAGAAGAAGAAGGCGATGGAGGACATGATTCAATTCAGTTAAACGAGTTTAACAATACCACATTAATTAGTGATCAAGAGAATGAATTCAATGAAAATAATTCTCCATCTTCACAAGATAGATATATTCATTTATTACATCGACCTCGTTCATATGATTCACCATTACAAACTGGATGTTGTGGTATTATTGGAAGTGAAGTATCCTCTCAAGGAAGTATAGATGATAGTGAAAGTATTACTGATCATGGTGGAATAAATCATCTTTCTGGAAGTATAGAAAGTGGATTAAATTGTAGCGGTAGTGGTGTTGGTGTAGGCGATGGAACTAGTAGTGGACTAGGAATTACTAACAGTGGAAATAATGGAGGTGCAAAACGCCGTGGTCCACGTACAACCATTAAAGCAAAACAATTAGATACACTGAAAACAGCATTTGCAGCTACGCCTAAACCAACAAGGCATGTTCGAGAATCTTTAGCACAAGAAACTGGACTTTCAATGCGTGTAATTCAGGTAAATTATTTACTGTTCATTCCAATATATGTGTAAAACTTGGGCACTGTGTTAGTAAGTAATCCCATATTAGCTTGTTCATTAGATATATCACACAGTAAAACAGTATTATTTACTGGATGACGTTTCCAACACAATTTATTTGTGTTCATAATCATCTTATCAATTATAATCACACGACTTGAAACTTGAGTTTTATAGTTTTCTTTGTCTTCTCCTATTTGTCGTCGTAGGCGTGGTGGTAGAATTTTCCAGATACCAGGGACAGGTAATGGATCATTCAACTAAGTAGCACCAAGGAAAATCTAAGATAGGAAGTGATACACATAAAAGAAGCCTTGAAACTTCATAATTACCCGGATAAATTAGTCAAGAAACATGTAAGGAAATGTAAAAATAAAATAAATAATGACAGTAGTGATAGTGACGTTAATAATAATAACAATAATAATGGTAATAATAATAGTGATAATAATGATATTAATATTAACGACGACACCAACAATGAGGAATCTAAATCATCAGTAGTAATTCCATACAAGGAAGGAACCTCGGAAGCCTTACGCAGAATTCTTAACCAGGAAAGAAATAAAGGTGGCTAGCATTCAAACCACCCACAAACTCAGTTAGAAACAAGCTTTATAGGTTAAAGGATCCTGCTAGTGGAGCCTATAGAACAAAGCAATTTAGTTGATCTAATACCCTACCTGCAATGATTTTCAGGTCAAATACATAGGTCAAAGTAGTAGAACAGGGGCATTCAGACTAGCGGAACATAAAAACCTAGCAAAGTATAGATTAGTTGATCCGAATAAGATAAGAACTCTAGAGAATAGTTCAGCTATAGCACTCACTACATGCAGTTACACGCAACCATACAATAGGATGGGATAGGATGACAGTTTTAAAATCTAATGTAATAGCAGGGTGGAGGGAGAGAATGATAAGAGAAGCTTTGTTTATTGAATCAACTGCTGACACGTGTAACAGGAATGATTCAACACCTGTCCATTTGGATATCTGGAAAGTTCTACTACCCCTACGACGACAAATAGGAGAAGACAGAGAAAACTATAAGAACCCAAGTTTCAAAGTCGTGTGATTATATAATTGATGAAATGATTATGAACACGAATAAATTCTGTTCGAAACTGTGTCATCCAGTAAATAATAATACTGTTTCACTCACTGTATGTGATATATCTAATAATAATAAACTAATATGGAATTACTGTTCATTCCCGTTTTGCTTCTTTTTTGGCTATATCTTTTTTTAAAGAAATTAACAATTCATACTGCATATATTTAATCTCTACTAAATCTTATAGGCTTCACACTTTCTAAAAATATATTTTGTTGTGTTTTCTTTTTATCCGACAAGAAAGGTAAATATAATCTCAATCATCTTATTTTATATATTCCCTTCATCATTATAAGCATCCCCATCATCATCATCATCACCATCCTTAGAATCATCATGAGGATTATACACATTAAAAATAATGTCACTTTATGTTACTTTCTCAAAAAGTGTCTGTCACAGGAGATATTTTCTCGAGGCCAACAGTGTCGTCTTAGTTTACTTTCAGTTTTTTTTTTGCTTAAATGTTTTCTTTCTCCTCTCTTCATAGTTTATCGCTTATCAAACCTGTCTTTCATGTCACACTTGAATTAAGCAGAATGACATAAGAGTTTCTACTTAAATGTGCGTATGTATGTATATATGTATGTACGTGTGTGTGTGTGTGCGTGTATCATCTGTTAGACAAACAATTTCATCCATGCATATATGGACACAACACACACTCACATACACACACATATAAACATTTGTTAAACGCTGAACACAGCCTTTTTAAGGCGTAAGCATATACAAGATTGATTCAACTCAGGTTTGTTTATATTTTGACTGTGTGTGTATGTGTGTGTGTATGGATGCATAAATGCCACATGTATATATATATATATTTCTATTAGATAGTCTTAGTGATATGATAGAATACTTCAAGCAGTAAGTTAATTCACAATGGGGACTGTCATCCACAGGCTGTTGCTCAATTGTTCTTTACCCATTACTCCTTTCTACCCTCTTTCTTTCATTCTTATTATTATTGCTGTTTATTTATCTATTTATTCATTCATTCATTAAGAAAAGAAAACTGTAAAAATTCGATCAATTAAGTGTGAAGTGATCTATAAAAAATAATGAATACTTTTCAGAATAATGATTAGATACGTCTATGGTAGAGACAAGAAAGAAAGAGAAGAAACCAGAGAAAGAATAAAGACTGAATATCACGCTGAAATTACCTTAGTTTTGATAACTTTCGATAAAAAAGAATATACTAATTTTAATAAAAGTCATGAAATTACAAAGTTATAGAAAAAGTGCTCGATCTCAGGTTGACATGTCGACAGAGCACTTCGGTTCAGTCAAAAAACGGGAAAATCTAAAACTCAATTAAATCATTAATATGACCTGTTGCACAAGAGGTGGCTGTCGTAGCCCAAGTAGTCTAGTGGATAACGCTTTGGCTGGTGTTTGAAACGATGGGAAATGAGTTCAAGCCTCGGTGGGAACATCACTCACTGGGAAATGCAGGTACATCCAGTAGGTGACAATTGTCAAATAGGACGAAAGGTGCATCCTGGATCCCACTGGTAGTCACCACCCACCGATTAAATTCGAATTGAAAGTGGTTTTTGTTGAGATTATATAAGATAGGCCGAGATTTACAGACTGATCTTTGTGAAATACGTGGTAATCTGAGTTGAAGAGATGATGGTTCAATAAGACGATCAATTTGCAGAAAGCCCACTTGGACAGGGCAATACCTTAATTTTCATAGTTTCTGTCGATTACAATATAAAAGAGGCTTAGTGAAATGTCTGTTTAAGAGGATTCAACGTATATGCGCTGTTAATAATAATAATAATAATTTGCTTTATTCTAAAAGAGTACTTGTGATACAGAATGTTTCAAGTAGAGTTTGTAAGGAAGAAAGAAACAAAACAGCACAACAGAAAAAAGAGATAGAGAAAAGGAAAGAAAGAAAGAAAACGTTGTATATATAAATGATATGAATTGGAAAGATGAGATCCAGTTGTTCTACTGACTATTTAATAAGTTATGGTTATTATGCCTAATGCTCTCTTTATCTCACAGAACACCAGCTAAGTAGGGTATGGTTGAGTTTTTGTACTTTCTATATAGGCTTCTAGTTTTGCCTGATGAGATACAACGGGAGAGCTGTGAATGAAGAGGGTGGTGCGAGTTAGATAGAATGGATTTAGTCCATTTTTCACAAGGGTCCAAGTGCCTGTCAACCAGAATATTAACAAGCTGGTTAAGTGGCACGTTGCTTATCCTGCTGACAACCTTTAACATCCTGCGCAATAAGGCATAGTCTTTCTTCAGTAGCCCTGGAAAAACGAAAATATTAATGGATACTCTTGCTGAAGACGGATATCCTTTAAGATTTTTAAAACGGTGTAGAAGTCAATTAGCCTCTAAGCCTACGATCTATATCGCCCCTAAAAAAAAGTCAAATTACCATATAATGGGGAAATAAAAAGTAGGATTTTGAGACAAAGGCTGAATTCGATCATCCGTAGAACCTATTATGTAGCCCGGCTTTTAATTGTCGAAAAAGCTAAAAGTATGTACCACTGCAAACCTCAAAAGTGCACAAGTGATTATGTCACATCCCACACTATATACCGATTAAGGTGTGTGTGGACACATACATAGGGAGGAGTAATCGCGCCTTGCATGTGAGGGTGGGAGAGCATATCCCAAAATGGTTAGAAAAACAAATGAATTGTGGTAAACCAATAGATACAGGTGTCAGACTACCAACTTCGTCTATAACTAAACATCTAATCGAGATGAACCATAAGATTAATGTTAACTCAGCCTTTAAAGTCATCTGTAAAAACTGTCAAGGGCGCTTATTGAAATATGCCGAGGCTATAGCTATTCATAAACTTAAGCCCCACTGTGTATTCAAAAATAGTTTGCTATTACTCTTAACCTACCTTGGTAATCCTTATTTGATTGAATTACCAAACGTTGTGTTAATCATTCTAAGATCCTTTATTTGCCAATTTGTTTAATTTAACTTTTTCATATATATCGACTTGACAAGCAAATGTATAATCAGATTGTTCGAAATATACAGCGCAAAAACATCACATCGTTTTTCAGATAATATCCGTCTTCTAATAATGCTATCCAAATAAGTGATGATTGTGTTTGGAAATGGAAATTCCAAAGTAAACATAAGGCGAGCAAGTTTGAAGCCCAAATCAAATGTTTGTTAATTGTTCGAAGTCTATTTTGATATTTTTAATCATAGAAACCATTATTGAGTAATTATTCTACCTAATTATACTCACAGCAGTATATTTGTACTTTGAAATGATGAAGGAAATTTTCAGGTTAGATGGACATTTTTAGTGTCTTCGTTTTCTCTGAAATGGATGGCTTTATTGCTCATTATGTAACGGTGGAAGACGAGAGACTTGGTACGTATATTGTTTCCTTTAGTTCCTAGAGGAACATAAGGCTTCAGCTCCTCGCCTCCATTGCACTCGATTCTCTGCCAATGTTTTCACCTGACTCCACGTCCAACCACATGCTTTCATCTCCTCTTCACATCACCTCCTCCATGTCACCATCGCACTGACGACCAACTCGCCGCTTCCCATACCGTCGGGTTCCACTCGAGCAATGGCCTGGCGTGTGATGTCACTCACTTGAGTGTTCGTTTTCTCACAGTATGGCCACAGTCCAATCCATCTCGATTTCTTCCTGCATATTTGTTGCACAGTTAGTTCCTCCTGGGTTGGTTCGCTCATTGGCAGAGATCCCTCCCTATTGCTGTCGTTTTCTGGCCAGCCATCTGATACTGAGCAGAGTATTGAGTGAAGACAGGTGTTGATGAAGGTGTGTAGTTTGTTCGAAGTGGGCTTCATGATTCGGGGTGACGCCAAGTCTC